GTCCTTCCATGAGGACTCGGGCTTCGTTCTCAGATGCAGTGAGACCATCTGTGCTAGGCCCCCAGGTTACCTCTGATCCCGAAAACCAGAAGAGCAGAGAACCCTACCTTTTGCAGCCGTGTTATCCAGCCAAGGCAAGAACTTAGGAATGTTTGTGTGTCTTCTTCACTGTCTCTTGAAACTGATGCGAGCAGTGCATTTGTTCTCTGGGCTGCTCCATCCTCCTTTTCCTTATTAATATTGCTGCAGCTTGAACCCCAAATCCTTCTCTCTAAACATCTCAGCACAGATCTCTCTCTGTCTCCCTCTCTTTTTTGTAAATATGTAAGTATGCTGGATCGTGGACTCCGTAGTCTGATAATCTGGTGGGATAACGGAGTGTTTCTATTTTATGACAAGGTGCCAGTGAAATTGTATCTGCTCCCAAGCTTTCAGGCTCGACAGTGGTTTTGTGGGGTTAAACACAGCCTGCTGCCTGTTCTGTTGTTCTGTCTCTTTCTCTCTCATAAAGTGTTAAAAGGATTCAAAAATAGATGGATGGAAAGTCAACTTGGACGGGGCTCCCTCTGTGTCATGGAGTATCAGGAGGCCAGCTGGCTAGCACCAACTGTCTCATGTACTCTGAGGAAAGGGCACCGATTAAATATTTCTCAGGGTACATCACTGCATGTCCACTCTCCACTGTTTAAATATGGAATTCCTTCCTCCCTGCCGGACCCCTTGACATAACGACCCCCTTATTTCCTACAGGATGCCACTTCCTCCAGCCCAGCCCAGCCCGAGGTAATAGTTGTCCCTCTCTACCTGGTTAATACTGACAGAGGGCAAGAAGGCACTGCCAGACCTCCAGCGTCCCTGGGGCCGCTTGGCTGCGCCCCCGCTGCCTCGGCGACCGCTGCCCCGGCCACCGCCCCTGCCGTGTCACCTCTGACCTTCCCGACTCTAGATGATTTCATCCCCCCTCATCTGCAGAGGCGGCCCCAGCACAGCCAGCCAGCCAGCGCTCGCGGCCCCCTCCCCCCTGTTAGCCAGACACCACCATCCTTGTCACCACCACCTCCGCTGGTCCCTCCCGCTCCGGAGGACCTCCGCAGAGCCTCGGAGCCCAACCTCCCGGGAGCCGCCTCCAGTACCGTAAGCTTGCTGCACTTGCCTCCCGTGGCCTTCCTAATGTCTGCTCCGGCCGTGAGCCCCCTTTCTCACCCAGCTACTAAATTCTGAAGAAAGCATTGGCTGCTGCTGCGCCTGCGTGATGACTGGACCCTGATGGCTGTCCCTAGAGTGCATGCTTCCTGTGTGTGACCTGGGTCGCCTGGGGCTCTTCACGGGGCTCTCAAGTGTCTCCTCTCCTCTGTCCTGTTGGGAATGCACATCTTCCTGAAGGAACTTTGTCCTTCCTCTGAGGAAACATCTGTGGCCTTTCTTTGCTTGGCTCTTCCTGGGCCAGGCAGATGTAGTGTTGAGAGCCAGGAAAGCTGTAGAACCGTGGGGACCAGCCAAGGGCAGGTGTGGTGCTACAGGGCAGGGTCCCAGGGAGCAAGGAGGTTCTGGGGGTGGAAATCATTCATTCTGGTTGGGCTTGTGAGTAAGCAAATACGCTTTCATAACAGAATGGGCAGAGATTGGGATTAAAAAAAAAGAGAGAGAGTTGGATTTAATTGAGGAAATGGAAGACTTGAACAAGTATTAGAACTTTTTCAAAATTAGACAATTCCTGGGACTTCTATGAGGAAGGCCCTAGGGATGCACCAGTGTTCATAGAAAGTTAAATGTCCTTGACACCTCAAGTCCCTTCCAGTAGGGGGAGGTGGGAAAGCCCAATTGTTTTAGGGGAAAAAAAAAAACTGAACCAAAGTACTTGGGTCTTGTTTTTCCTCAGGAGCCTGGGAATGGAGAAGGTCTGAAAGAATCTCAGCGTGAGCTGCAATATGAAGATACAGGGGTCTACTTATGGTGCTGTGGGGTTCAGTGGGATCAAGCAGTAAAAGTTCCTCCTATTATGGTCTTTGGCACAGAGGAAGTACCCAATTAGTGTTAGTTACATTGCTGAGGACTTGCCCTAGCAAATGAGGCGCCAGTAACCAGTTAATGAATAATTAATCTTTGAGTTCCTACCGTGTTCTAGGCATTCTGCTAGCTACCATAGGTACACCTGTGAAAAAGTCAGACTGCTTGCTCTGCTCCCAATGGGATTTGGGGGGTATCAGTGTATCAGTTCTCAAAGTTAGTTTGGGTGGGATCATGTGAGGGCCAGGGAGGTCTAGTTATACTCATAGAGTTTCTGATCTTGTGGGGCTAGGGAGGAGCCCAGGACTCTCATTTGGTCAAAAGCACCCCAGGGTTTTTGATATTGGGAGTCCATGCACCATATTTTGAGATGCAGTGAACTGGTGAGTCACATGTTTGGTTGATGGAACTCATCAAATATCCCCTTGAAGAGATGTGCATATCAAATTGGCCCAGGTAGCATGTTAAGCTGGAGCCAGTCAGGCAGAAAGCAGGAAGGAAACTTCTTGTTTGACTTATTAGAGAAATTATAATAAGGCAGCAGAAGCACCAAAGCTGGGAATTGTTACATCCTGGGTGGGAGGCTGTTCTTGACTCTCCAGATGCAGCACGGTGGAGCTAGGCCAGGCCCAGGCCTGGTGTGACCTTTGGGCTTGAATATATTTCTGACTTTGGGCTTTGCAGCTCAGCCTTCTGGGAGGAAAGTGATGAATTATTCCCTCCCCCTGGCTCTCAGGCTGAACTTCTGGGTGAATTTAAAACTTCTGGTTTGGGGGCATGTAGGCACCTTCCTTTGGTGCAGAATATCTTTCTCTAGAGTAGCAAGTAAAGTGAGCCTTATTTTTAGTGCACTCATATACCACTGTAAGTAGCTTTGTTTTGTGCCTTATAATTTATCATTTGTGTAGCTCTAGGTTTTCATATTGCGTTTGTTTTAGGTGTGCCAGGGCAGATTAGTTGGGACAGTGTCCTCAGTATCTCAAACCTGACAAATCAGCCTGGAGTAGACTTCCCAGGAGTTGGCCTGAGAACTTTTGATTTGGCCCCAGGTAACAGAGTAAGAGGTGAAGAAGGAAATTACTGGGATTCCTCCTCTGAATAGGAGTTGTCAAGTAGAGGAAGGACCTTTGAGGATGGTGTCCAAGCCATGAGTTGATCATTTGCAGCCATTTGGAAATAAGAGGGAGAAATAAAAGTTAGTTTAAGTCATTTAGTTTATTTTAGTCAATAGCTGTTTTGTGATGTTTCAGAAATAAGACATGGATCAAAATCTACAAAATGCTTGCACAATCTACCCATGAAGACATCACATTAGGTTTTCACACTTTAAAGAGCTCTGGGCCTGATATTTTGTGTTCCTTGGATATACTCTGGCAGCATTTCTAAGTCATTTATCTTTATTAAATCACTGTGGAGATAAATTTGGATAAGTGTAGTTATTTTCTACTTTATAAATGGAGGAGTCAAGATGAGGCACTTGTGTACAAGATCATACTGTGCGCTCCTTGGGTCTTGGAAAAAGATTTTATTCACACAGAAAATTGAGCTGCCACTCATTGGCTACATAGGAAATTTTCAGGAGGGAGAGATTGAGACAATGTGTGCAAAGCCCCTACTGGGTGCCAGGAGCTGTCCTGGGTGCTGATACACACATTTTTCTCTTCTGATAAGCATATGTCCTCGTGACACAAACATTAGCTTAGTCACACACTTGGTAGTGGGTGGTGGCTTCTGTAATTCACTTGGCATTCACTGAGCACCTGTTATTGTTCTGGATGGTGGCAGGGGGAAGAGCTGTGACCCTTGTCCCATAGGTACATACACAGTAGTTGATCTCTGAGCATAGTAATTGCTTTAAAAGTAACAATCAGGGCCAGGGGCTAAGCTCAGTGGTAGAATGTTTTCCCAGTATATGTGAGGTCATGAGTTCAATCCCCAGTACAGCAAAACAACAACAACAAAAGTCCATGTATAAAAGTAACAATCAAAATCTTGTTCTTAATACATTTAAGAATGTCATCTTAGTTTTAAGGTTGGTTAATTTTAAAATAGAAACCTTGCAAAATGTATAGATACAAGGAAGGAAACTGAATATCGTCACTACATTTGAGGGTCCTACTTTTTTTTTTAAAGACTGGCATTATCCCCTCATACAGATTATAATGTTGGCATTAATAATTTTATTAGTATTTCTGGTAGAGATCTCAAAATTTTTAAAGTCAGGATTCTCACAAGTCTTTACTTCAGGGATTTTTGTCACTCTAATGTTAGAGTGGAAAAATGTCACAGCAGGATAGGATAATATTCAGATCTCAGAAGCCAGTTTTAGTAAAATTGCTCAGTTATTCTGATGCCACCTGCAGCTTTCCCAGAGAACCGTTTCTTAACTCTTTCCTGTTCTTACTTCAGTGATTTCTTGTCCTCAGCTCGTCTCACATTTCTCTACACAGTGTACTAAACCTCCCTGATTCTTCCCAATTAAGCCAGCTCTCATTCTTGGATCGCATTTGGAATTGCATGGGTTTTGCATGTCACTCTACCTTGAATTTGAATTTGCTTTTTCGGTAACTGGATTGACCCACAACTCTTACCAGGTGAAAATAATGACTGATGCTGCTGAGACTGTCAGCAACACTCCCCTTCCCTTTCTCTTCCCTTACTAATACCAGAAAAGAGAATACGCATCCCAGACGAGGCTTCTAACTGGATTTAATGATGATATGTCTCACTGATTCCATTTCTTTTTATAAAATTAAGGTCTTTGTAAAACTTTACATTTCTCCCTTAAAAAAAAAAAGCATTAACTCTAGGTTTCTTGTATATACAATTAGTGACAATATTCATTTTCTTTTCAGGGTTCCAGTCCTCTACTAAATGAAGTTGCTTCTTCGAATACTGGAGCTGATTCCCAAGCCTCTACACCAGCCAGCAAGCCATCATCCGCCTACCCCCCGACAACCATCGTCAACCCCACCATTGTACTCTTGCAGCACAATCGAGGTAAGGGGAGCCTCAAAGTGCACCCCTACTAACTCACTGCAGTCAGCATGGCTGTCCCGTGGTATCTGGGGCAAGACTTCTATCACTGCACAGAGATTTTCACAAACCTTATTCTGGGCTTCTCTGCCTCATTTTACCCACATGACCTGTAAGATCCATCCCAGCAGGCTGACAGAGGTGATGTCACGTATTTGCATATGTAAGCCAGGCTAGTGCAGGTGCCTTCTCCACACCTCAGGTGCTCCTGGTTTTCTTCAGTCAGTTGCAACCCCCTAAAAAGGAACGTTTGTATCTCTTAATTCTTCATCATATGATTTCTAATGAGGCTTTACTTAGAAAATTTAGATATGATGATAACCACTTTTTAAGTCGTGTCAGAAATGATTTAGTTCTTTGACAAGATAGATTGCTAGAAAGCAAAATGTTGAGTACTGAATTTAACAAGCAAATATGCTGGATAGAATTTTCTAAAATGTGAAACATGTTTTTATGCATCTAACACAAAACGTTTTCTTAGTGACTCTCTTGCCCCCTTCTCACAGCAGTTATTGCATGAGATTGTCATTCGGTGAAACCCTCGGGGACTGAGGTTTGTCTGGCTGCTTACCTTACTCCATGTGGCCCAGGCAGCACTGCGGAGGGTTTTCAGGTTCAGTTTCTATAGTTTCTCTGGCTGCTTTGGTTGGTTCTGCTGTGTCTCTGAAGGGGCTTGGGATTGGCAAAACTCAAAGAGCTTTGAGATAGTAATGATACATATTGACCCTTCTGCTTTGAAATTCCAGAGGATGATTCTAAATCCCAAGTTTTCCTTTTTTGGGAATTCCATAGAGAGGAGTAAGCTTTCCCTTTTACAAAAGTTCTTTGCAGCATGAAATGGAAAGTTTTCAGGCTGTCTCCCAGTGCAGAAAAGCCTTTTTAGTATGAATTTCAAAGAACAGTAGAGGTTTACTTGTTCTGTTCAGAGCTCAAAGCTCATATCCAAAGCTTCCTTTTCTTGACTCCTTCTTCGCCTACTTCATAGTTTCCTCCCTTTCCCACCCCCTTCCTCTAACTTGGATGAAAATGGAACTGGAGTCTATTTTTAATTGTTTTCCATACTAAATAGAGGTTTCTGTTTCCTGCTTCTAACTTGAAAAGTAGATATATGTAACATTTTCTCTCACTTCAAATATTCCCACTCAGATCTTAAATAGTCATTTTAGTGGGGCTATTTATTTATTTATTTATTTATCTGCACTGTGTGGCTCCCATATCAATTTTCTCCCATGGATCTGTGTTCTTCAGGAAAAAATAAGGGTCCCAGCCCCCACACTAAGTTTTGTATAAGCCCATTCTCCCAAGTGTGCCATGCCCTTACTGGCAGTAGTTCTCTGCCCAGAAAGTGTCCATAATGCAGGACAAAGTGAAATTTTAGTTCTCTATGAACTTCTTTATGAGTCTTTTTTTTTTTTTAAAATCTAGTCAAGTAGAAGCAAGTTAATTCCCAGAAGGAAAGGCAGTTTCTTTAAAAATGGGATTTATTCCCCAGGCAACATGGCTTTTGGGAAGTGCCAAGTATAATGTCAGCTGCTCCTGCCAAGTCCCTCCAGTGACACCCAGTGAGACATCTTTGGGCACAGAAATGCCTGTAGTTCCTCTTTGTCTCTTCCTTGAACAAGTGAATTCCTCTTGTTCACCCAAATACTTTTAGTTCTTGCCTTTCTCTTTTGGCCAAGATCTGCCCTTGGGTTTAAACATCAGAAATGTACAGCCTGAGACATGCCTCCTTCAGAAAAAAAGATGCAGGAATGACGTTAGTTTTTTGGAATTCAATGGCACCTTCCAATAAAGAACAAAACCATGCATTCACTAAGTAGGTAGGACAGGAAGAGTTGAAAGGAATGGAAGAGCCTGGCCGGCTTGGCCCTGTGTCCCTCATCATAAATAGGGTTTAGGTCAAGTGTTCTTGGCACTGCTTGGGAATTTACCCAACCTAATAGCTCTGCTTTGCCTCACCCATGAAAACAATTTCTTAACTATTGCAGAGTGTCCCAAGGGAATGATAACTTTACTCCAGTTCTGGACTTCTGCTTTAGTCATCCTGAAAATTTCCTCTTTTTTCCCCCCACTGCCTAGATTGTCACAAGGCATGGTACGATAATAATCTTGTTTCTTCAAGCCAACCTCCCTATTAAGAACAAACAGGGGACACCGATCCTCTGGCTTGGCACTGATGGTTATGAGCAAGCATCCCTTTTCTCCGTTTTCCTGAGTTTGCGTACTTCATGTATTTAAGGGTAAATCACTTGCCATGAGGCCGGGAAGGAAGATTTGAATCCAGATACTTTTAGGACTAAAGAGGTATATGGGTTCCCTTGCTCAGGGCTGCTCAGTCTTGTTAATCTGATGAATCTTGTTAATTTGATGATTCAGATTCAGGAGCTATTGGGAAGGGGTGAGAGGATAAGATTCTACATTTTCAGAAAGCTTGGTGGGCATCCCAGCAGTACTGGATGTGGACCATGCTGGAGATCAGGAATTCAGAGGTTCCCAGGTGCATCTGTGGACATAGGAAATTGTCTAGGGGTTCCCCTAGAGTTGCTAACTTCTAATTTTGCTAAATAACAGCCCTGAAAAACATCCACTAGTGTGTGTGACATAAAATAAAAGAAAGTCCATTTCACACTTCAGCAATGGGAACAACATAGTATTTTAAATTGTATACATTGGTTTCTACTGCTGGGAAGGACTCTACCAGTGACTTGTGGAATGGAGTTGGATAACCATACATCCCTTTAGATAACACAGAGTACCTTGATATCACAAGTGAGGAAATAGGCTGAGAGGCGACGTAATTGGCCATTGTCACCTGACAGGTTGCTGGCAGAGCTGGGTCTAGAGCGCCACTGGGCTTCTGCTTGTCCAGCTGGTGTGAACCCCATCCACATGTTGAAGGCTGCTACTTGCACCGGCCAAGAGCTCACATGTTTCTTTCTTCACTTCTTACCCAAACTGATTCTAGTGGGAGGATAGATGGAAATGTGGCCACAGGGCATGATGACAGCACCCATGGGCTGGCAAGTGTTCTATTTTTAACTGTGTGGCTGCTTTATATTTAGCAGCCATGGAAGGTAAAGGTCACTTTTGTGCTTATCACATAGCAAGTACACTCAGGACTTTCCAAATGAGATGTTAGCCTCCCCTCCACGTGGTCACCCCGAAGGCTGAGAAATCAATAGACCTTCAATATTAAGGAGAGCGACTAGAGATGCAGAGGACCTGGACTGGGAGTTGAAAGTCTAGCTTCTAGATCCAGATGATTTTCGGTGTAGTTTGGGCCCCTTATCTGAACTCTCTTGGCCAATGCTGATTTTTCTTAGAATTTCTCCCATACTCTGGACCAGCCTCCTTGCTACAGTGGCTCAGATGTACAGTGAGAAAAATAGTTATGCCTAACAGCTAAGGTTGTTGGCAAGATTGCAAATGTTATGCCTGAAAACACTTAAAACCAGGGTCTGGCTTTGAGCAAGCTCTTGGGAGATGACAGCTTCCATGGTTATGATTCTAATCACCTTTCCTTCAAAAGGTACCAAGGCTAGGATCAGATACGGTCCTGTGCACTTGAAACCAGAGGGAGTGAAAGGGTCCCCTTTAATGATAAGATTATCCGCCCCCCCCAGTATTGGGGATCAAACGCAGGGCCTTATGTATCCTGGGCAAGTATTCTATCACTGAGCTGTACCCCCAGTCCCTTTTATTTTATTTTGAGACAGGATCTCATTAACTTGACCAGATTGGCCTTGAACTTGGAATCAGCTTCAGCCTTCTGAGTAGCTGGAATTATAGGCATGTGCTACCACACCTGGCTGAGATCATCTTGAGACAAGATGTAAACTACTAGAAAATGGACCATCTTGAATTCTGGTGCAAATCTGGAGAGTGAGGAGTTGGGAGACATCATGCCTGTATAATAAAATCCATGTCAATTCCCCTGTCTTCAGCTGACCTGTGTATTTTAGCATCTAAAGGACAATGAGGGTGCTGAGTTTGGGATCCTAACTAGTTATACCAGGATCTCTTGGTCTTACCATGTACTGTATAAATCTCACTTACACTGTGCATTCTTTTCTTTTATCACAGAACAGCAAAAACGACTCAGTAGCCTTTCAGGTAGGTGACAAATATATTTATTTACATATTAACCACTGTGCCTTTTAAAGCCATCTTTCAGTCACCACCCAATGTTGGATCAGCACAATCTTCTGAGCGACCCTAGGAGTTGGGGACTATATTCGTTGCTGGAATCTTTGTTTCAGAGATGATAACAACAGGCTTAGATTCTGCCCCCTGGAGCTTGCAGGCTTGGCAGACAGAAAAGTGAATCAAACTAGTAAACGTGTCCCATGGAACTGCAATGAGTAGCTTGATGGTAAGAACAGGATGTTCTGGGTAGGTAGCATAAGGGGTTCTGCTTCAGATGACAGTGTTCATGGCAGGTCTCTGAAGAGGCCACCTTTTGGTTGTTCTCTCTTTCTCTTAGATATGACAGGTCAGGGTTTAGGAAATGTGGGCAGGTCTTGTACTATTTGGGTTGCAAAGCCAAATGCCATTAGTTGACCCAAGCGCGATGGGTCCAAGTACGAACCACCCGACCAGCAGGGTCGAAAACTGCTTTTTGAACTTAAACTGGCTTTAAGGATCATCTGGAGAGAGTATCAAAACTCAGTCTTCTGCACTTGGCCTGCAAAAGTTCAGATTTAATGGGTATGTGTGAGAATTTGCATTTTTCACCAGCTCCTCAGTGGTACTGATGCTGCCCTCTGGTGACCACACTGGGTGGCAAGTGGATTGTTAAAGCCTGTAATGGAGAGTGACAGCAGATATAATCAGCTAATCAGGGATCACTTCCTGAGAAACTGTGCAGGATGGGACAGTGTTGGGTGGGGAAGGAGCAAACTTGTAGGCTGAAATTAGGAGGAAACCCAGGAATAGGAGTGCTTAGTCATTTCCTGCTGGATTCCTGTAGCCATTCTGCTTTGAATCCTGGTTCTACCACTTACTCATGGTGTCACCACAGGTCCATTATCTAATGTCTCTCCTCTGTGAATGGAGAAAGAAGTATCTTCCAGGTTGTTGTGAAGATCAAAGGAGATTCCACTTATAAAACAGCTGAGCATTGAGCTTTGGCACTTGCAAAGGGCTTAGTGTTATCAGTGGGCAGTGCCATTGATTTATTATTCATTTTATTGAGTGCCTGCCTTGAGTAGAGTAGAGGCAAGAGGCAGGCTCTGGAGGTGCATCAAGAAAATTGTGCAGCCTATGGGCTGCTAATGGTGTCATGTGATGATTTTTCACCTTTCTTTGGTCATGGCCACTCCTTGAGAGAATCTAACGAAAGCAACAGATTCATTTTCCAGAAAAAGCCATGCGTGCAAGCATGTGCATGTGAGTTCCATGGATTTTTAAGTACTCATGAACTCCAGAGTTAAGAACCCTTGATCTGGTGGATAATGGAAGCCACCATTTTCTGAGCAGCCGCTGCATGATTTCTGTGTGACTTTATCCCACTGCTGTCCTTGTGACTTGTGCAGAGCTGGGTAGGGAGGACGTGGGGTTCTCACACCCTCTCAGCTTTATCAGGGCTTGGCCACGGGGCCAGGACAGGCTGTGGTTGAGCTCAAGGTGCCCTTCACTTCCCCTCCTTTTGCTGCTACTTCCTCCCCCTGGCTCCAGCCTGGATTGCAGAGAACATAGTGGCTTTGGGGGAGAAAAAATGGTGGCTCCTGTGAGCTTCTTCCTGCTGTGCGAGTTGGAAGGAATAGATGAAAAGGGCATCCGGCCATGTTATGAGACTCAAATTTGGTCCCTTCCTAGAGCTGTTTGTATTTGGGTAAGGGACCTTACCTCTTTGAGCTGTGGTTTCCTCATGTGGGAAGTGGGGGTGACAATCTTTGTCCCTGCCTAGAGGAGCTGATGTGACAGGAATGGGGAGAATGCCTCACAACCAGAAAGGGTTTCTCCACCATGCTGGCAGGCTCAGCCTGGCTCCTCAGTGCTAAACAAACCTGATGCTGACTCCCTCCTTGAACTTTGGGACAGATTCATTAATGATGTTTGATCAACTGGGGCCTAAAACAAGTGCTCACTAAATGTTAGTTCCTTTTTTAAAAAGAAGTACCATTTTGTTCAGGAGCTCCTGAAAGACAGGGGCCGGCAGTGCTGGCACTCTGTAGACCCTGTGCCTTAGAGAAAATAAGGTTCTGCTCCTCACCTGTGGGGACGGGACTCAGGGTCACCAGTCTTCTCTTTTATCAAAGTCTTATTGAGCCCCTGTGGGCTCAGGAAGAGTCAAATGTGAATAGAATCTACATGGCTCAGGGCTCCCCTGGGGAGAAAGGAAAATATGATTGTGACTGGGATAGTGAGGTTGACACAGGACATGGAAGCCACCCTCCTTCCCCTAGGGAAGTGTGATCATTGTTGTCATCTTCAGTCATAAAACTTTGAGTATGAAGAAAATCTATCCCACCTCCCATAAATAGAGGCCCCAACTGAGACTGTCAATATCATCATTATTTAGGGGCCCAACACCTTCTTTGTTAAAGCACCGTATAAAATGAGAAGGAAATGCCCCAGGATATCTTGTGAAGAATTAGTGTTGCTTAGTGAGAAGTAACAGCAAGCCCTCATTGCAACAGGGATGTCAAAGTGGCCCTGTCATCTGCATGGGACACTTGTCATTTTGGATTTTCATTTTATTTTTAAAAAGTTCCACTTTTTGCAGTTTAGCCTTCCAGATATCAAAATCCACTCAATAATGAATCATGTGACCACAAGTTTCTTAAGTAAAATAATTCAGAGCTAATTTTTATAGATTAAAAGGATTCTTACAACTCCATGGACTGCTAGCCTGTTTTGCAGTTAAGTGATTATTGAGCACCTGCTCTACAGTTTAAAAAAAAAATTTCAAAGGCTCTAGAAACCCTTGAGAACAGCATGTCTGTAGCCCTCATTGTCATAGCATGATGAAGGCCCCTAAGCACTGGGTAAAACAGAGCTTGGAATCAATTCTCCTGCGCCCTCTTGATCTCACTCAGGGAAGCCCTTTCCAGGTAGGAGGGGAACTCTCAGAGAGCCACGTTAAGGGTAGATTTGGGTAATTTGAAATCCCCCTGCACTTCCAGGCTTCCTGCTAACCCCTTGTCCCCATGTTGGAATTTCCTGGGAGCATGAGAACTCTTCCCATAAAGCCAGTCTGGCCTTAATACGGTGATGGTACCATGGATCAGGTTTTCTGAAGCTCTCACTAAACTGATTCTTCTCACACAGAAGAATACTTAGGAATCATTTTGCCTTTACAAATGCAGTAAGAGTTTCAGAAGTCCACTTGAAATCATGGCAGACTGATCCTGTTGAGTTGACCAAAAATCCTCAACCTGAGCGTGTTGATTTCACTGTTCCCCTGCTTCTCCAGCCTCCCCTCCACACAGACACCTCTGACTTTCATTACTTTGCAGGGACCATTAGGTCCTTCCATTTCACTATGGGGTAGCCGCCAGACAGCACTTGGCACCTCTCAGTGAATCAAGGAGCAGATATTCCTGAGCACTTTCTGCTTGCCAGGCAGATCTGCATGCCCTTCATTCTCACCTTATGGACTGTATCCACAGGACTTCAGGGTCCCCTGGTTTACACCTTTTTGCTTCCAGTCTTTTGACCTCTCCAATTACCATCTGGCTCATTCCTTCCTTTATGCTGAATTCCCTCCCTATGGCCTGCTCACACATTTGTTCCTTTCTCTGCGGTGTGACACCTATCCCCACTGTCCTCCTGAAATGGCTACCCCAGAGTGTTCCTGTGACTTTCCTCTTGCCTAATCTAATGCCTCCTCCTCCTCTGCTTCAATTTATGGGTTTTTTTTTTTTTTTTTTTGGTGTTTAACAACCCACATCTTGGAATTCTGTCTTCTCTGGTTTCATGGCACCTTGCTGTGTTTTCTGGTTTATCTCCTGTTCTTCTGATGACTCCCACATCCATTTG